CTGTAGAAGTCAATACCTCATACACATCGAAGCACAAAGCAGTTATAACTGCATTCTCCATCTGACTGCAACCACACAACATGTAGAACGCACTCCTTAATCTGCGATTACTCGCACTTGATTAAACTTATTAAATATTCAAATGTGTAGTTTCGTTCTTTGGCTTTACCATGCCAAACAAAAAGCTGGACATTACGTGACAATCGGCACGCCGTGAGTTGCCCCGGGTAGGCGAGCCAAAGTGCTCATAAAGAGAAAAAATGCTTAGTCTGTCATGGCTACCTTACCTGCTGAAGCGCGACAACTCTCAAGTTTTTACTCCCTGCTTCTTTCTGTTACAAATTCTATGTTTAGCATATGATATTATCACGACATGAAATTTAAAGTTTCTGCCGCTGAGTTGTGACAACAAATATTTAAATTACTCACAAATCACGTCAATTCTTCCCTCTTCATGGATCACCTCTCTCACAGTCTTTTCGACCGAGTCATCCGAGCATACGTCCATCTGCTTGATTAACAACGTGTCCCCAAGAAATTTTTTGCCTTCTTCCTCTAGCTGTCCTTTTTTCTCCAGATTTCTCATCGTTGCGTAAACTCTAAAACGTTTCTGTGCATCTTTCGCTAGAATAAGGGCACTGGCAAGTCCTATGCCGCTTGAAGAGCCAGAAATTACCACAACTTTGGGAGCCATGGCTGTATGCAAGCTATGAAGAGAGCTCACTCAACTGCATTGTGTTTGGACCAATCGGGTGGGAGTGAGTTATTTGTGCAAACGTTTTGCTCCCAAGAGCATGCGTGCGATGATCCGTGAGCAGATTTGCGTTACAGGTCGCGTTGTCACTGTCATCTTTTCGTTTCAAACTACACGTACATGATGCTGATAAGAATAAGAAAGGCTGACAATGGGGGGTGACAAAGGATTTAATTAAGCGTAACGCTTTTTGAGCAAAAGATGTACGGTAGAACCCCGGTAACCCGAACTCTGAAGGGAAACGAAAAACAATTCGTGTTTAATAGCGGGGGTTCAAGTTATTGGAGTCGATTGAATATTCAAATTGCCATGTTAATAGTTTACTGATTTTTTAGCACTTCAGTGTACAGTGACAGCTAAAGGCATCGCATCCAGTTTGACTCATAAGATCGGGAAATGACTGTCAAATGTGTGAACAGTCGGTTGCACTAATTAAAGTCAAATTTCTGTAGTGTTAGTTTTTACCCTGATTACAGGACAAGAAAAGCTAATGGATGACATCCGTGGTGAATTACATGAACCAGAATTCGGGTTATCGAGGTAAATTTTTATCAAGGGAAACGAAATTCAGTTTGAGTTAGCGGGGAATTCGAGTTATGAGAGTTCGAGTTAACCGAGTTAAAATGATTGAAAGTGGGATCAAATCCAAGGAAAATGGGACTTGGCCCGAGTTAGCGGGGGAGTTCGAGTTACCGGGGTTCTATTGTACTTGGTCCGAGAAAGAAAGTATTTTGGTTCAGACTGACGCAAGGAAGGTGACCAGCCGCCGTTTTGACTGAAACCTGTCAATCTACATTTGTTAGACATTTTGATCACCGAGAGTAGGGGTCTTTTTAGTGTACGAATCCTGATTTATCATGATTTTATCGAACCTCTAAGAGAAACAAAAACTGGATCGTGAAATAAGGAGCCGGAGGAATCGGGGTAAAATTAAAGTGACACAATTCCAAGACAAGCACGGTTTGGTTCGGGTTACTTAGAGGCTCAAGAAATTAAGAGGGCTCGATAAATCAGGAGTCAATTGCAAGTGCCTAGGTATGACCTCTGATTAGTGCTAATCGTGCGGCGGCCCCCAAGATATATAAACAACACACTTAACATATGTGTTAAGGCGTTTCTCGTAACGTCCGTTCACAGCATGTTTCAGTTATTATTCACTTCCACGAGAAGTTAAACTTAGGCACGCGAATGTGCTATATACGCTGTTCGATGTCAGTTGTAATCATTCTCTACAGATCTCTGAAGAAGTCTCAGTTAGGGACGAAACGCGTTGGAACAAATAAATGGCGAAAAGTTACAACAGAAGTCTCCTTTGCACTGCTCACCGAGTCTCCGTTAATAATTTCAAGCTGGCTTGAACACTTGCTCAATAAAGAAGACTACAATATTGGCCGTCGTATGGCGACTCTTTTCGCATAAATTATCCACTGCAGACGAGTATATTTGTTTTACACCCTAGTCTAAAGCAATGGCTTTATAGTTCGATGGAATCCAGTTAATTATATTAACACAATTATTGGATTTTGAGATTAAATCATGCGTCCACCATAACAGATTTAGTCAACAAACGACGCAGAGAATGTTTTAATGAACATGCAAAGAATGTTGGAAGTCGTTTAGCACCGTTTAACATTAAATTTAGGGCTTAATTCTGGAACGAAAGTTTTCAAACTTTTCGCACTGCCTAATCTGCTAACAAAAGGCCGGTTAAATGCATGGCTTGATCACTATATGGGAAAGGAATCGCTGGGATGAAAATGATAATAAAAGCCGGGTTACATCTGCTATATATACCCCAGCCATAATCTGGTTTTGGTAGCTCTTAACTCGTGCTACAAAATCTAAGCCACATTTTACTGATCTCGGTTGCTGAGTACATTTATGCTTTCATTTAAATTTTATGTTGTTATTTGACTCTCCGCTTAGCTTATCATTCTTTGCTTAGTGTCTTAATCATAACATTTGAAGAATGAGTGTATTGTAAATAACTTGTTTTTTAGACACTTCACGTTGCAGACACCTCGGAGCGTGAACGAACGTCCGGGACAGCTCCACGTTCAGAGCCTCTCTAACAATTTAGGGTTTTCCATCATAGAGAATCAAAGTTAAATGGAAGACCCTCTCTTAGATCACGGCTAGCTTGTTATTGTCAAAAGCCAGTTAAGGTCCGCCTCGCCATTTATTTTAAGATAATCAACCAGTAACCTGCTCTCACTCCTGGCCTGGGTTGACACGAATGTTAACGCGGTCGAAAAATACATGCGTCCACTGAGCTACTGAGACAACGAGGAATTTTCCTGGCGTGCCAAGGGTCTCACTTATAAAGGTGGCGAGTCATGCGCTCCATGAAAAGGATTGTCACGCTCGACAGAGTTTTGTATAACAAGGAGCAAGGTACACATAGCTGTAACAGCGTGCTTCTATACCATCTTCTGCTGCTGTTGAAGCCAAAGTTCCAGCGTTGCTCCATGGCTCATTGATCTGCTAGGTTCAACTCTAGAAGGAGGTTTTTGTTGTCACCTCGCGTTAGATTCCAGTTTTCTTTTGTGAGCCGTCGATCACCGGGACAGTCCTTAAGTGATTAATTCCAAATAGAACTGAAAAGGCAGACAAGGGCAGTCTCGGTATTTCTTTAAGCCAGTTTGTAAGAGGGCAAATCCAATGTCTAACCTCATTAACCTCATCAGTTCTTAACCGCAAAAAAACACTTCCTAACGAAAATCGCCTTCAAAGAACTTTTTACGGCGGTTCGCATTTCTTGAAGACGCCAGCAGTAGATAAAGGGATTTACAGCCGAATTCATAAATACTATCGTGCTTGTCAATTTCCATGCCACAGCAATGTCAGCTTTTTTCCATGACGCCGAATCAATACTGTCTTCACTGCTAGTCAATAGTAAAATAATAAACAGTGGAGTGTAACAAATGAGAAGAAAGTAGTGGATGAGGACAGCGTTGCCTGTCCCTTTGAACCGTACCATGAACGAGTTGGCTCTTTGACGCGTTTGGACTGCCTCTCTTTGGGTTTGAATCTGTTTTTGATGGCGGCGAACAACGCCATAAATTTTCAAATGGACGGTTAGTGACAAAATAAGGCAAACGCCCACCACAGCAGCCATGGCAACAAGAAAAACCTTATTTCCACTCCACAGCATTACACTTGCCATGAAAATGCTCGCCAACCAGTTCAGTGTCATTAGGTAGATGACTCGCACGATGGTGACGACGGTGACATATCTTAGATGATATTGAAGCGCTAATAACCTATCTACACTGATGGCTGTAACAGTCAACAAAGACACACCACAAACCGAATAGGACAGAATGTGGAATGCTTTTCCCAAAGCACACGGATACCCTGCCTCGTGTTTGGCGAACTGCATCAGTTCTATATACAGAAACAAGGGTTGAACGACAAGTCCAACAGCGAGATCAGTTGTTGCCAGACCACAGAGCAGTACATTCGAAGGACAACGAAGTGAAGGTGTCTTCCACACTGCTGATACAACCAGAAAATTTCCAAGAATCGCCGTCATAAGGAGCAGTATATTAACTGCACAGTTCACCACGATAACGTTTTGTGGAACATTTTCAACCTGAAATACAGGAAGTTGAAAACACGAACTGTTGTCTTGAATTGTTCCTTTTTCTCCTGTGCAGTTTGTAGAGCAATTATTAAGCATGATGATATCCGTTTTTAAGTTCCAATTGTCGTGAAACGTTTCGAGATTTATGAACTATCGAAACCTCTTTCATCCACTTTCGTTCGCCTCTGATATTTCCTCCCACCGTTTTGTGAAGCATATTACTTCGTGGCAGAATGCTGCACATGTCTGTTTATCTATCTGCGAACGTCATCGATTCATTGCCGGATACATAAAACGGAAACTTAATTACACGTATTAATGAGTTTGGAGGCCTAATATAGCTCTTATATTGTTGTGCGCAGTATCCTGTTTTGTTCCAGTTCGTTCATCGCGGAAATTCTGTGAATTAAAACTCTGCAAATTCCGATAGGCTCAGACGAAAATAATAATGGGAAATGCCAGACGTAAACTCCTTCCAATAATAAGCTCCGTCGAGTGTAAGTCCGTGAGTTCATTTTTGAGTACAGCTCTAAAAACAACATACCATGTTTCAATCCCGATTTCTCGAACCCTCCGGTTATTGGACCTCCCATTCGGACTCGAACCAAAGTTTGTTTCTCTCGGATTTCTTTCTGTTGCTTTATTCCCCACATTTCGAGTCCTGCTTTCTCCGACCAATTTTCGATTCCCTTCAAGGTTCTGAAAAATCGTTTTTTGTTTTTTGTTTTGTTTTTTTTTT